ATCTTAATGTATGCGATAGTATAAGCAAGTTTTTCATAAACAAAGAGATAATATAGAAATTGATATTTGATTTCTGGTAGCTAGTTCTAAATTCTCTGCAACAATTTCATTCTCTTGAACAGTCTCACAGTGTCTTGATACATTTGATGCTATAGTATACGAAGTTAGACTCAAATATTTCAAGAAAAGAGTCACTATGGTAACTACTATTAATGTCAAGCTATGTGGGGGTGAAACACAATGATGGTTAAATTTTTCGATTCTGATGGATGTTGTTATATTGATACGTTCTTTTTTTTTTTTATCTCAGTCTCCCAACCTTTTTCTTTAAAAAATTAATTCTTAGTATCTTTTAACTAAGGGAAAATTAAATTAAAAATAGTGCAATAGATTATAGTAATATTTTGTTTCCTTATTAACCTGATTTGAACCCCTGTAGTGTTCTCCATATCTTGTTCTGACTGATTTTATTATATTCTGTTTCGCTTAATAGTATCAAGTTTGAGGGTATAGGCAACCATTTGGAAGGCAACCAGATATTCTATGATGCCCATTATTATTTGACTATTATCTTCTTTGGAATCCTGTAAGCTCTCCAATGTGGTTTTATTGGTCTTATGTACAGTTTTGTTCAATTCTTTTATACTAGCTGATATAGGCTACTCTTTTTAGGATAACAAGAGGCATAATGGTAACCATTGTTGATCACCTAGTAATCCCCCTTTTTCTTTTTTTTCTTTTTTCTTTTCTTTTTTTTTTTTTTTTTCATTTTATGCTATGTCCATCCTCCTGATCTAACTGACTCTGTTTTGCTTCGTCACATTGGGTTTTTCTTTGGTCCTTCTTGTTTTCTTTTTTTGTTTTTTGGCCTTTTTTTCAAACTTTTTTCTTTTCATCTTCAAAGAAAAAGTTAAAAAAAACTGTGGAAGTAATGGAAACTAAAATGTGCAATTGTTAGTGTAAAAAAGAGAGGAAGGAAAGAGATCTCAAGGATATAACTGCAATTTATTTAAATGTGTAGGAAAGAGAACCATATTGCTGAGTTTTTCTTGGATCATTGAACAGAACTCACTGCCATCTCACTGTATTAATCTCCACTTTGTATGCTTTAATTTTGTAATCTGGACAGCTGTTTGTAAGTTGACAATGTGTGATCTACTAACTGGTGAACTCTTACTGTATGTTTTTTCTCTTGAAACTCTGTGTTGCTTCTAGCCTTTTACTGTCTTGCTTTGTTTAGTTTTGTTTTTCTCTTTAAATAAAAAAAAAGTTTAGATACAGCTCTTAATGAAAACTGTGAATAGTGCTCTGTCTCCCATCCAGCAGTGTAGCCCAGAGATCAAAAAGAAAGAAAGAAACAAACAAAGATCTGTAATTTCCAGGGATATGGAGTTACCAATATTTCTTACTGGAATAGGGGCCATGAATCAGAGTACCCCACACTTTTATCAGTACTATTTGGGGAGTAGGCACAAGTTATAGCAGAGTGCATGGGAGGAAATATTTACAGGCTTTGACTGTATTAGAGAAACAAAGCAGTCTTGCACCAGGCACAGAGGCTCCACAATTAGTGATGCAAGAGGGAACTTGAAGTGGGAAAGTCTGGCACTTTTACTGCCTCAAAGAAATAATTCTTTTTGAATTTTTATCTTATATTTTCACCCTGGTAGCTAACATCATTTTGGACAAAATGTTTTTTTATTTAAAGAAAGGCAAAAGAAAACAGAAAATGTGCAGAAATAGTACATAATTTCAATGTAAAAAAAATATTTACATATTGTCATCCCACAAATAATTGTTCAAGATACAAAAGCAGAGCATATAAATGGGAATTCAACCAAGGAAACTGCAAACAGTTCTGTTCAACTATCCAACAAAACTAATATGGCTATCAATTTAGACATGTATGCATTTATTCATACCTTCATTTATATAGAGAACAAAGATAACATAGCAGATTAAAATCATTCTGAACAAAGCTTAATACTATTGCTGGATTTCACATCATGACATTCCAGAATCATCACATGGTACTGCTGTGCCCCCTTTTTCCTTCAAAGTATTTGTTCATTTCATCATGTGTTGTAAGATCAATTCTAATAAACTGTTTATAGGTTTTGCACAAGCTTGAGTCTTAACATGTATTTCTATCCTCTCAATATTAGAAGGAGAAACAGAACAGAACAGAACCAAACGTATTCCTATAGACACATAAAACTAAAAACACATATAAAACTACTTTACAAGGAGTTCTGTCATGGTCACTGTGCTATCTCTGGTTATCATCAATAGAATTGGCTGTATTATCAGATAAATTATAATTGAATATATCAGTTCATTACAGAATTAGTAGAAATACAATGTTTTAGATAGTGTAGAGCTAGAAAAACAGATAGTCGTCCAATCAGAATGCGTATCGTAGTGAGTTATGGACAAAATGATTTCACTGGAGAAAGAAGGATGAAAATATTGTCTAAAGAAAAACTCGCATAAGGGTTTTGTTTTGTTTTTTCTCTTTTTCCTTTTAAATAAAAATTTTAAAAAGGGTTTGAATATTAAACACAAACTGAATCTCCTTGAGCTAGGGAATCTACATATGCTTTGTGTGTTCATGGAAAGATAGAAAAACCAACTTGTTTCACATAATTACTATTGTTAATGTATAGTTTGTAGATATTATTTTAAAAAATGAAAATTCCAGCTCAGTGTGGTGCTACATGAATGCAATGCTAGTACCCAGGAGGCTGATTTAGGAATATTACTGGATGTTCAATTTCACCTTCAGCTACAGAATAACTTCAAGGCCAGTCTTACCTACAAGGAAATAACCTGCCTCAAAATCAAAAACCTCACATACTGAATGAGGTAGGACAATGTCTAGAAGCAGTATTACAACAGGTGAAAAGTGCCAATTGTACATCTGAGACATGTCAGTAATTAAGTGGAGAATGGTGTTCTGTCTATGGAAGACCACAGGAGAGCACATACAACATGGGAAAGCAGAGCAGGGTTGTGGCAGGCAAAATCAGCTCCTGAACAAGGAATTTCCCTATGAATACTGCCTAGTGTGAAACTGAACTATGAGTTCTATGCTCGTGAACTTGGAAAGTGATTCAGACATATAGGCTGAAAGAAAGCAATTTAAAACATTATATGTTTGATTTTCTTGTTACTACTACATTCACCTAATCAATTTTAAATTAGTAGTAATTTTTTTTTCTTTTTTAAGCTGAGTAGTCCTTAGGCAACATTATCCCTGTGTAACAGAGCTGGTTTTTAACAAAAATAGGAAAAATTAAAAGGTATTTGTTGCATCAGTAGGAATTCAGTGAAAATCTTCTCCTGGGGAAAAATCTCACCTTGTACATTTCCAGTTATTGTTATATTGAATTTTGATGCCTACTCTTTGAGATAGACCAGGCTGAGCTTGAAGGCCTTATATTTCTGTCATAGCCTCACACAATAATATGATCACAGTTTTATAAAAATTTACCATTATAATCGTGCTCATTTAAATCAAGCACAATATATTATACATTTTGTGTCCAAAATGTTGTAATTTTTACTGTTGGGAATATGCAGTGACCATTTTGAAAGGCATTCTTGGTGGCCTCTTTCTCTCCATAATTTTCTGAATTAGAGATTAGTTGTGTGTTGTATAACTTTTATTGGAGTGCAGAATCTAATACTGAAAATTTTTCCAAGCAGCAGTGATGTTCATTTGTTTTGATCACAAGCCACCATGAAGCAGCTTTGCTTGTTGTTCTGTTTCATTTTTTAGTCAGAGTTTTATGGTATAGATCATGCTGACCTTGAACTCAGTCTGTAGCTTACAATGATCTTGAAGTCATGATAATCTCTTTGCCCCTACATCCTGAGTGCTGGGATTAGAGACTTTTGCCACCACACTTCACTGTCAGTTATGAATTTTTATGTGATGAGTTCACATAGTCCAGGCTGTTATTCTCAATGTTCCTTTAAAAAATATATGTATCAGCAAGCACTAGGTTGCTGAAACAGTCATACTTTGACCTGTATTGTTATATTGTTATGTCCTGTTTTATCTCAATCTCTCCCTTATTCTTTAAAAAAAATTATTTAGTTATTTCTTATGTTTGTTTTAATTAAGGGGAAAAATTAATAAAATTAACAGGATATATAATAGTAACTTTTTTTGATTTCCTATTAACTTGTTTTGAAGTCCTGTAATATTCCCACGATCTTGTTTTGACTGATTAAACTCTGTTCCATTCTGTATGATAGTATCAAGTCTGAGGGTATAGGCAACTACTTTGAAGGCAATAAGATTCACTAAGATGCCCATTCTGGTTTGACTATTGTCTCCTTTGGAAATCCTGTAATGTTTACAATGCCTAAGTTTTATTGGTCTTGTTCTCTACTGTTTTGTTCAACTTTATAATATCTAATGAGATAGACACTTCTTTTTAAGGAAACAAGAGACATCATTGATAACCATTGTTGATAACCTTGTACTTTGTTATACATCATGTGCTATGTCTATCCTTGGTTTTGACTGACAGCTTTGTTTTGCCATATTTGACTTTATTCTCTACCCCCAGAAAAAGTAATAAGAACTAAGGAGTAATAAAACCCAAAATGTGTAAATTTTGTTGTAAAAAGGAGAGGGGAAAAAAAGAGCTCTAATGGATATAACAGCAAGTGTGTTTAGGGGTGTTAAATAGCTGACTATATTAATGTTTTTGTATCATTGAACAGAGCTGTTTGCAATCTCACTGTTTGAATGTCCATTTTGTATTCTTTGATACTGTGATTTGAGCAACTATTTCTAAGATGATAATACGTAATCTATTAACAGGTGATTTCTTAATTTTTTTTTGTAGTTCTGTATTATGTGTACCCTTACACCGCTTTGTTTTGTTTTGTGTTTTTCTCTTTTTCCTTTTAATATATATATATATATATATATATATATATATATACATATATATATATATATATATATATCTATGAAATTCTAGGAATCAGTGACCTTTGAGGATGTGACTGTGAACTTCACCAGTGAGGAGTGGACTTTGCTGAGTGGATTCCAAAAGAAGCTCTACAGAGATGTGATGGGAGAAACCTTTCAGAACATTGTGACTATAGGTAAGAATAAAATCTCCCATTTATACACTCAGAGGAGATTGCTTTTTGCTCTTCAGTGATGTTTCATTAAACAAAATGAAAACAATTAGAAAAATTAATCTGACCTGCTTACATTATATCATGAATCTAGTTGGCATGTGTTAATTTTTATGTAGTAATGTAGTGACTACTTATACTTCTGTGTCTATAATTCAGGAAGACTCTTGGATAACCAGATAGTGGAAGAAGAGTGCAATAACTACTTCAGAAATCTAAGGTAATTTGCACTTTCAAGAAAAATGTACACTCCTTAAGACATCACACAAGGAGAAACACAGAAACTAAATAATTGACACCATTTTCAAATTAATTTAAATTTACAGTTACTCTCCAAAACTATGTGCAACTTGAGTATGTACAGTCTGAAAACTAAGTGTGAAAATATTCCAACGTAAGAAATGTAATTACATGTGAAATCATGCAAATGATACTATCTAATGTATTATTACAAAAATGTTCCTTTATCAACAACATCATGAATATGTATGACATTGCTGTTAGGTGTTTTGTTTAGCTGTAGATGAGAGGTGATAGATAAAGTGATATTTTAGAGGTGGGAAAGACAAGTGGGATAAGAGTAGAACATGAAGTATAAATAGGAAATGGTGTTAAAATTAATCAACATGTGTTATGCATATATATGTAATTCAAAATAAAATTAAATTACTCTAGTATAAAATATACCACCTAAAAAGTTTCCAAAAACATACAACTCTTTACGGAAAAGCTTTCTTGAAATATTCCTCATTTGTCTTCTTTTAATTCATTATCAAATTTCTTAACAGACATCAAAAAAGAATTTGCACTATTAAATCATCGATATGGAGAGCCATTTTATTTTATCTTCTTCATCTCTTACAGAAATGAAGACATGGAGAAATGCCCTCAATATAAATATTGGAATCAGCATAAAGAATGCTTCCTCTGCACTCAAGATGCTAATGTCCATATTAAACCATGTGATTTAAAATCAATTGAAAATACTTCCCGTAGAAAGCTTCCAATTGGGCCTTTTTCACTAAACATGCCCATCAGAGCTCACAGTGGAGGAAAGCCAGATGAGTATTTTGAACTTAAAGAGAACTTGTTTAAATGTAATGATACTAGAAATCACTGTGATGGTTTGCAATCCATGGAGAATCGTGTAAGGACAGAGGCTGGAAAGAAACCATGGGAACATAATCAGTGTGAAAAATCCTGGTCTGGTCTTAGTGAAAGAATACAACTTAGAGATAAGATGTTTGCAAGTCCAAAAAATTTTAATGCCTCTAGTAAACACAGTGATGTTCAGATCTCTCAGACAAATCACAGTTGGTGTATACACTCTGCATGTAAGCAATGTGGGGAAGTTTGCAGCACACATACTATTTGTCAACAACATAAAATAATTGAAATGGAGGAGAAAAAGTATGTATGTAAGCAATGTGGGAAAGGTTTCATCACAGAGAGTTACTGTGAACTACATGAAAGTTCTCACACTGGTGAGACAGCTTATGTATGTAAGCACTATGGGAAACGTTTCAGCACACAGAGCCATTGTGAAAGCCATGAAAGAATTCACACTGCTGAGAAACCTTATGTATGTAAGCCATGTGAGAAATGTTTCAGTAGACCGGAGTACTGTAAAAGACATGAAAGAACTCACACTCACAAATCTTATGTATGTAAACAGTGTGGAAAAGCTTTTAGTAGACCGAGTGCTTGCAAACTACATGTAAGAACTCACACTGGCGAGAAACCTTATATATGCAAGGAGTGTGGGAAACCTTTCATTACAAAGGGGCATTGTAAAAGACATGAAAGAACTCATACTGCAGAGAAACGTTATGTATGTAATCAATGTGGAAAAGGTTTCATCACACAGATTTATTGTAAACTACATGAAAGATCTCACACTGGTGAGAAACCTTATGTATGTAAGCAGTGTGGGAAAGGTTTCATCACACAGAGATACTGTAAACTACATGAAAGTTCTCACACTGCAGAGAAACCTTATGTATGTAAGCAATGTGGGAAAGGTTTCATCACACAGAGTTCTTGTAAAAGACATGAAAGAACTCACACTGGTGAGAAACCTTTTGTATGTAAGCAATGTGGGAAACGTTTTAGCACACAGAGTTATTTTAAATTACATGAAAGATCTCACACTGGTGAGAAACCTTATGTATGTAAGCAGTGTGGGAAAGGTTTCATCACACAGAGTTACTGTAAACTACATGAAAGATCTCACACTGCAGAGAAACCTTATGTATGTAAGCAATGTGGGAAAGGTTTCATCACACAGAGTTCTTGTAAAAAACATGAAAGAACTCACACTGGTGAGAAACCTTTTGTATGTAAGCAATGTGGGAAAGGTTTTCGCACACAGAGTTATTGTAAATTACATGAAAAGTTTCACACGGGTGAGAATAATTATATATGTAGGTATTGTGGAAAAGCTTTCATTACACATGTGAATTGTAAACTACATGAAAGATCTCACACTGGTGAAAAACCTTATGTATGTACGCAATGTGGGAAAGGTTTCAGCACACAGAGTTATTGCAAAAGCCATGAAAGAACTCACACTGGTGAGAAACCTTTTGTATGTAAGCAATGTGGGAAAGGTTTCATCACACAGAGTTATTGTAAAAGACATGAAAGAACTCACAGTGGTGAGAATCCTTTTGTATGAAAGCAATGTGGGAAATGTTTTAACACACAGAGTTATTGCAAATTGCATGAAAGATTTCACACTGGTGAGAAACCTTATATATGTAAATAATGTGGGAAAGATTTCAGGACACAAGTAAATTGTAAACTACATGAGAGATCTCACACTGCTGAGAAACCTTATGTATGTAAACAGTGTGGGAAACATTTCAGGACACAATGTTATTGTAAACTCCATGAAAGAACACACACAGATGAGAAACTTTATGTATGTAAGCAATGTGGGAAAGGTTTCATTATACAGAGGTATTGGAAACTTCATGAAAGATCTCATACTGATGAGAAAACTTACATATGTAAGTAGTGTGGGAAAGCTTTCATCAGACAGGAATATTTGAAAATACATGAAAGAATTCACACTGGAAAAAGATCTTTTGCATGTAAGCGGTATTGAAAACCCTTCAGCCCACATAAAAGTTGTCAAAATCATGAAAGAATTCACACTGGGGAGAAACCCTATTACATAACAAATGTGGGAAATAGTCATTGTGAAAGACCTTAAAAGGCTCACAATGAAAAGAATCTACTCATGTGTGAAATTGTGTAAATCTTCCAGTGTACATAATTATTGTCGAATACATGAAAGTAGCCACAGTGTAAAAAACATTTATATGCAAGCAATCTAGAAAGAGACTTTCTAAATCTTAAGTAGACATTAAGAAACTCATTGGGAACAAATCCTATGTCCATAAACAATGTGAAAGAAAATTCAGTGCACACATGTTAAGTACACGACTATATATGTTTTATGTCAAATCAAAAATATCACTGGGAGAAAACTATATATGTAAGCCTATTTTGAAAACTCCATAAAGACGTTTCATTTAGTGAAATTCTATAGAAATAATGCAAAGCATTTTATATCAAGGTTTCCTCATATGTGTTCCAAATAAATCAAATCCCAGATAAATATATGACAAACTACATATATTATGTGGATTTTAAATATCACATATGTAGATTATTTATGTGCAGTGTTTAAAAATACTGAGTAGCCACAAAGAGGTATTTTTACCTGAGTGTCTGAGGTTAGTCCATAATATTGTAATTAAGCATGTTTGATCAAAGTGTATTTTTTACTTTCAAGTACCATTAGGGTTTGTGCTGTTTTTATTTTATGCTTAATTTTGGGAGGAATAGGCCATTAAAAGTCTTATTATTGTCATTTTCACTATTAGATTTTTGCACTGTTTTGCTTTTCAATTTCTGTGTGGGTTTTCTGTACTCTATAACAAAGGAAATTTTTAATTTGATGCTATATTTTCTATTGATATCTATTTACAAAGACTTGTCAACATGAGTTTTTGACAAAGTTGAATTGTGTTCATACAACTTGTAGATTAGCAAATTTTGTTTTTCATATAACATGGCGGAATTCCTGCTTGTATACCAACAGCACTGTATATTGTGTCATGTTTGTATATTACATGCTTTTATTTCAATGCATTCATTTCCATAAAGTTTTATTTTTGACATAATTTTTTTTATGTTTACATTGCAATGCCTTAGTTTGCTTCACTGGCATATTTTTAAACCCAGATACCAAACATAAACCATATTGGTCAGTGTTTTTCATCACCAGAATCCCACTGTTTTAGAATTCAACATATCACACCTAAGGGATTGGACTTCAGAAAATTGCTGGGGGCAATCAAGGGCATGGAAAATATCAGAGCAATTTATAACAGCCATAAAAGATGACAGATCTTAGGAGTTTTGTAAGAACAAGATGACATAAATCTCACATTACATGGTTGTCAATCTTGCCTCTAGCAGAACAACAACATATACTATAGCAGAAGAAGGGGAATTTAGCGAGATACCAGTCTATGTCCCATTTCACCACATGATCATAACTTGTCTTTACGGGAATACATTACCTGCAGTAATCTGTCCAGGATATATAAAATACAGTATAATACCCATAACAACAATTTGAATGGAATGTTCATCAACTCTGGAACTTTTCTCAGGAGCATGGTTGCTAATGAATGTTATGAGATTAATGCATTTATTCTATTTCCTAATGCTTTGGTGCCAAAATACCTTTGGTAATCATTGTTTTTCATAGGAAACTAAAATACTGGCATGAAGAAAAACCTAACTCCTCACATATATCAATCAACTCATTAAAAATAGAAATGTCTGAAATTGTTATTTATATTGTGTTCTTCACTTATTTTTGATACATTTCTATGATGACAATTTTTCATTGTTCTTAAGTTTGATCCTCTGATGTTTTTTTTTAAAGAAGGTAAAATTAAACAGAACAAAACTGATCACAGAGTAACAATGTATGAGACACAATTCCAAAACAAAACTGTTGTGCATAGATTTCTTAATCCTGGCAATTCTTTCTGGAGTGCGAATGGATGAACCATAATGCTGAACATTTTTTCATGTATTTATCTGCCATTTGTATTTCTTCATCTGAGAACTGTGTATTCATCTCATATGCCCATTTTTGGAATGGGCTATTGAATTTGGAGGATCTGATTTTTTAAATTCTTTATTCTATACAGAAGTCCTTTGTCTGAGGGATCATTCACTAAGATTTTTTCCCAAATTGTGAATTTTCTTTTGCCTATGCTGGAGATTTCTTTCAACAGGCAAACTTATTAGTGTGCAATCTGAATTAATGATGCTGTAAAGTATTTTGCATGCAACTTGATTCTTGTTCATGAATTGACTACATACCCCTATGTTCTCAAGATTTCTACCTAATTTGTCTTCCAATAAATATAGTGTTTCTGTTTTAATATTTACATCTTTGATCCATTTTGACTTTATTTAGTACACAGTGATAGTCATGGGTCTAGTTTTAGTTTTCAGCATATGGAGAGCAATTTTTTCATGCAGCATTTATTGAAAAGACTATCTTTCTTCCAGTGGACATGTTTGGCCCCTTTATTGAAGATAAGGTGGCTAAATGTGTTTATCATTGTAGTTCTATGTTCCAGTCTACTCCAGTGATCTTGAAGTCTGTTTCTTTTCTAGTACCATACTGATTTTATTACACTAGCTTTGTAGTAAACTTTTAGTCAGCGATTGTGATGCCTCTTGCCTTGTCTTTGTTGCTTAGAGTTGCCATTGCTAATCTACGTCGCTTCTGATTCCAGATGAATTTTAGGAGTGATCTCTGTAGATCTCAGGTGTACTAGTTGTATTTTGATTGGAATTGCATTAAATCTGTATAATAATTTTTGGAGAATGGACCTTTTCCCAATGTTTGTTTTTCCTATCCATGAACAAGGGATGTCATTCCATTTTCTGAGGTACTGTTTGATTTCTTTTGCCAGGATATTATAATTTTCCTGAATAGATTTTTGACTCTTTTGTTACATTAGCTCCTAAGTATTTCATTTTGTTGGATGCTATTGTAAAAGGTTTGGCTTCTCTGTTTTCTCTCTCAGTGATTCTGTTATTAGTGTACAGGAATGCTATTGAGTTTTGAGTGTTGATTTTGCATCCAGCTACATTCTTGAATTCACTTATACCTAAGTGTCTTTCAATGGAGTCTCAGGAGTCTTCTATGCAGAGTAACATGTCATCTACAAATAATGATAATTTAACTTCTTGTTTCAACATCATTAATCCTTTTATTTCTCTCTCTTATCTAATTGCTCTGGCTAGTATTTCCAGCACTGTAATGAATAGGAGTGGTAATAATGGACATCTTTGCCTTGCTCCTGATTTTAAGGTAAAGGCTTTCAGTTTATGGCCATTTAATATGCTGACTGTTGGTTTGTCATAAATGACTTTTATCATATTGAGGTAAGACCATCTATTCAATATTTTTGTAAGGTTTTTATCATGAATAAGTTTTGGGCTATATCAAAAGCTTTTTCTGCATCTGTAGAAAGTATCATGTAGTTGTTATGTTAGGCTCTGTTGATATGGTGGATTACATTTATGGATTTGTATATGTTGATCCAATCCTGCATTCCTGGGATGAATCTTACATGGTCATGGTATATAATCTTCTTGATGATTTGCTGCCTTCTGTTTGCCAAAATTTTATTGAGAATTTTTGCATCTATATTCCTGAGGGAGATTGGCCTGTAGTTCTCTTTTTTGTTTGGATCTTTTCAGGTTTTGGTGTTAGAGTAATGTTCCCCCCCCCCCCAGAAATGAGTTAGGGAGAATTACTTTCCTTTCAGTTTCATTGGAGAGTTTGAGGACTGTCCACATTAAATATTCTTCAAATTTCTTGTAGAATTCCATAGTGAATGTCTCTGGATTAGGCTTTTCTTTGTTGGTAGGGATTTAATTATGTTTTCAATATCATTAATTGAATTAAGTTTATTTACCAGTTTTACATCTTCTTGACTCTACTTTGGGAATTCATGTGTTTCTACAAACCTGCTGATTTCTTAGGTGTCCATTTCACAAGTCTATGACAGTAGAAGTTTTTAAAAGAGATATTTAAGATCTTTATTTCCACAAGGTCAGTAGTGCTTTCACACTTTTCATTACTTATTGCATGAATTTGAGTTATTTTTCTTTATTTCTTTTAATAAGGTTGGCTAGAGGTCTGTCGTTTTTATTCTTTCAAAGAACCAACTTTTTGTTTCATCAATTCTTTGTGTTGTTTTCTTATTCTCCTTTGCTCTGACCTTTACAATTTCCTCCATACTTTTGGTTTTGGTCTGGAGTTGCTCTTGTTTTTCTAGATGTTTGAGGTATAATATTAGGTCATTTATTTGTATTTGTGCTGTTTTCCTGTTGTGGGAGTTCACCACAATAAAATTTCTTCTGAGGACTGCTTTCATTATATCTCACAGATTCCAATAATAATGCCTTTTTGTTTGCCTACAAATATTGTTTCATTTCTTCTTTAATTTCTCCTATAACCCACTATCTGATCAGGAGTTTATTATTCAGTTTCCATATATTTGTAGGATTTATGCAGTTTCTTTTGACATTAATTTCTAGTTTTATGTTACTGTGATCCAACAATATGCAGGAGATAATTTCCTTTATTTACATTTACTTAAGCTTGTTTTGTGGGATAATAAATGTTCTATTTTAAAGAACATTCCATGTGCTACTGAGAAGAATGTTAGTTCTGATGTTGTTGAGTAAAACGCTTATATACCTCTACAAAGTACAGTTTTTCACATGGGGGATTCAGTTCCGTTATTTCTTTGCTGATTTTCTGTCTAGGTGATCTGTCCCTTTGTGTTAATGACATGTTAAAATCTGTTTTAATTGTCTTTTGCTTATTTGATTTTTCATTTCTCTTTTTATCTTTTTTGTATAGCCGAGTGTTCACAAGTTTGGTGTATATATATTTAAGATTGTTATCTCTTCCTCTTTTTTACCCTAACAAGTATGTAGTGAGATTCTTTATCTCTTTGGATCATTCTTTGTTAGAAGGTCACATTGTGTGTGAAGAGAACAGCTACTCCTGTTTCTGGGGTGATCCTGTTGAATGGAGTATTGTTTTTTTTTTTAAGTTTTATTTATAAAAGACTAAAGAAAATTGAAAGCAGGTAGAAATAATACATAATTTCAAAGAAAAAATAAGTAGTAAAAAATCATTAGTTGATGATTACAGTTTGTCCTCTTACAAAAGGTTATTCAAGATACTAAAGTGGAGCATATTATAAAGTGGGGATTCAAACAATGAGCGTGCAACCAGTTCGGTTCAACTACCCAACAAAAACTTAGAAATATGGTTAACACTCTTATACACTTAAATATATATGCAGTTATCCATATCTTCAATTATGTGGAGATTGAACAAACCCAAGCAGGCTAATACTACTATAATCAAAGAATAATGCTATTGCTGGGTTTCACATTATGACACTGCAAGATCAGCACTGGGTACTTTAGTGTCTCTTTTTCTTGAAACTATTTGTTCATTTCATCATGTGTCATAGAATCAGTTCTCATAAACTGTTTATAGATTCTACACATGCATGAGTCTTAACATTTATTTCTATCCTTTATATTAGAGGGAGAAAAAAAGAAAGCAAGACAAAACAAAACATATTGCTATTAACACATGGAATGAAAAAGAAATATAAGACCATTGTACAAGGAGATCTACCATAGTTCCTGTGTTGTCTCTTATTATCTTCAATAGAACTGGCTATATCATCAGACATAGTACAATTGAATATACCAGTACATAACAGTATTACTAAAAACACAATTTTGTATATAGTATAAAATTTCAAATACAGGAAGTTATCAAACCAGAATCATAGAATCTTGTCATCTTTGATGTAGTTGCCTATACGCTCAGAATTGATAATATCAATCATACCAATTTTGAAAAAAACTGTCGATACCAAACAGCAATCAAACAAATCAGATTTAACTAAGATCATTCATGACAAACAGTATAAGTCATACAGGACTCCAGATTAAGATTATAGGAATTTAAAAATGATTACTGTGCTGTGCCCTGATGTTTTCTGGATAGCTGTCTGTGCTCTCAAATCTAATGCAATTAAAGAAACTGGGACAGAATAAAATCTATCTAAGCAGAGTGGTGCGAGTAATGTGGGTTTTAAATCCCGATACACTATTAATAATATCTTCTCATATCTTTTTTAAGACTCTCCTTCCCCTTTTACTTCCCCAGGGTACACTGTGCATTTTGCATCTGACCAAGACCCTTGATTTTACAATGGGGAGGGGGGCAACCTGCTATTTACCTAAATGGTTCCAAACCTTCTCTCCTCTGGATTTCTAATTGTATTCCTTTACCTATTAAAGCCTGTCTTTGCAACCTATCAACAAATATCGGTCTATTTGCCCCTATTACTCTCTGGTTCTCTGTCACATAGAGCATTTTTTTCTCATATTTGATTTTCACTCCATATATGCTTTTTCATGTTAATTATATATCCTATAAATAGCATCTCAGTGGACCCTAGCTCATGATCTATTCTATGTGTGGTTCTTTTTTCTAATTTAGTGTATCAAGGCCATCTATATTAGAGATTATAACCAAGGTTCTCTGCCTCATTTATGTTATGCTCTTTTTTTTCCATCAGTTTTCTGCTTATCTTTTGCATACTGATATCTGCTCCATTCATTGAGGCCTCTCTGCCACAGTTCCTGGAATCCTAGTACTTTTCTCTCTCTCTAGAATGCCATGTAGTATTCCCTGTAGAGTTGGATTGGTGATTGTGAATTTCCCATGTTCCTCTTTGTCATGGAAGCATCTTGTTTCTCCATTAATTTCTAGAGACAGTTATCTGGGTATATCAATCTGGGATGGAGGTTATTTGATTTCAGAGCTTGGAATTTTTCACTCCAGGATCTTCTTGACTTACTGATTTTTGTTGAGAAGTCTGATGTTATTCTGATGGGCCTTACTTTATAGGTTATCTGTTTTTTATCTCCAACAGCTTTTAATATTCTGTCCTTAAACTGAATTTCTGGGATATTGATTATTATATACCTGGGTCTAGCTCTGTTTTGGTTGCAGGTGGCTGGAGTTCCATATGTCTTATACATATGAATACCATTTCCTTTTCCTATCTGTGGGAAGTTTTCCTTACTTATTTCTGTGAAGAGCCTTTGTAGTTCCTTTGTTTGTACTCCTACTTCTTCATTCACTTTCTTTATTCTCAAGTTATAGATCCTCTTGTTGTCTCCTAGCCTTTGTATTGTTACTGCTTGTTTCCTTGCTATTTATAAAAAGTCTTTCCTTTCATGAGCCCATGCTGCAAAGCTGTGCTTCAGTTTGGATAATCTATCCTTAGTTTCTTTCAAGCAGATTTTCCATCTTTCCATAGAGTTT